CAAACCACCTGCCAGGATCGAGAGATGGGGACTGAGGCTTCAGCCTTACGACTTCAAGGTTGAATACAGGAAGGGGGCTGACAACCCAGCTGACTACATGTCTCGGCATCCGATGTTCTGAGACAGGTGACAGCACTCGTGCAGCAAAAGTGGCAGAGGAGTATGTGAACGTCATTGCGAGTCATGCTACACCTAAAGCAATGACACTCACAGAGATCAAGGCAGCGACACTTGCGGACCCAATGCTTCAAGAGGTTGGTGCTCACATCAGACACAACACATGGCATAAAACTGACAAGTCACAACATGCTGACATACTAAAGCAGTTTAGACAAGTTAGCAGTGAACTAACAACATCACATGCATCTGACATTATACTGCGGGGCACTAGAATAGTGATTCCCAAAGCCCTACAAGAGAGAGTGTTACAACTAGCCCATGAGGAACACCAGGGCATTGTCAAAACAAAATCACTACTCCGAACCAAGGTGTGGTTTCCAGACATCGATCGCAAAGCAGAAGTCGCAGTACGCAGTTGTCTCGCATGTCAGGCCAACACACCAGTCACACACAAGGAGCGGCTAAAAATGTCAATTCTGCCAGAAGTTCCTTGACATAGTGTAAGTGCAGACTTCTATGGGCCGCTTCCGACTGGAGAGTACTTGCTTGTCATCGTGGATGAGTATACACGCTACCCAGCTGTAGAGAGCGTGCGGTCAACATCGGCGAACACAGTCATTCCGGTCATGGACAAAGTCTTCTCCATGTTTGGAATCCCCAGAGTTGTAAAAACTGACAATGGTCCCCCATTCACCAGTGACCAGTTCGCAGATCATCTAGGATTCCATCACCGCCGGATAACACCGCTGTGGCCTCAAGCTTATGCAATAGCTGAACGATTCATGCGCACACTTGGCAAAGCTGTTTGTCTGGCTGAAACACAAGGACTTCCTTGGAAACAACAGCTGAACATCTTTCTACGCGAGTATCGATCTACACCCCACAGTACAACAGAAAGCTCGCCTGCAGAACTGTTATTCCAACGCAAGGTGTACACGAAGATTCCTTCATTCACTCACACTGTCAGTAACAGTTCAGACTCTGAAGTGAGGGCAAAGGACAGCAAGGCCAAAGCCAAAATGAAATCTCATGCAGACTCTCATTGTCGTGCTACACCACACACTCTCAGTCCAGGTGACACTGTGCTTCATCGTCAACCCAAGCACAATAAGCTCACCACACCATATAACAGTAGGACATACACCGTGACCAAAGCCAAAGGATCCATGATCACAGCAGCCAGAAAAGGACACTCCATCGTCAGGAATTCTTCATTCTTCAAGAAGATCTCACCAGAAATATTGGACATCCCACCGGACACTGATGATGATTGTGATTACAGTGATGCCTCCACGAGCACAACAACGCCAAGATATCCCTCAAGGCACAACAGACGTCCTCCAGCCTTCCTACAGGACTATACTTAGCTTAGGGACTGTAAGCAGAAGAAATTTGTTGAAAGGGACTGTATTAGCCAAGGTTAAGAAGTTTGGTGATTTCCCCTTTTAGCGGTCTAAAATTAGAATTAGAAATACGCTATAAATATGAGTACAACGTTCAGTACAGCAGGTACGATTGCTGAAGTTTGTTTGATTTGATGTAATAGCAAGCCCAGTTTTCAGAATATTAAGATGACAGGTTTGTATTTGTTGTGATGTTCATGACGTAACCACGTCACCTGCAGATATAAACGCGCAAGACACGTTAGCAGGAAGTACGCAAACAGCGACGTGTAAGCCAGAGCCGGAGAATAAACGGCCGTGGATATGAATCAAACTGTTAGGTCTGGTGTATAAACCCATACAACGCAAACACTACATGTATGTGTGCGCATACAGAGAGCCGAGGAGAATTGTAAACGCGCAACCACATAGACCGAAATGACATGCTGTGATGTAAATAAGATAAATGACTAACTTATTTAATTTGTTTATTAATTATTATGAGGGTCGTTCATCGGCATGAAGTTAATTTCATGTGTCCGGAGCATTGTGACCAAATTCCATTTAAAGTCTTAAATCCTGAACCAGGACGTACTAAAGCCACCTGTTACACTGTAAAGTGACAGGCTGGAAGGGCTTTAAATGGTGTAAATATGAATGGGACAGAGCTTTGCTGCAACATATCACAATACCTGTTATGATGTGCAAACGGACCCAGATGCAACACGCAGGACCACCAAGGTTTCTCTTTCTCAGGGGATACGGAACACGAAACAGGGGTTATTTATTTTCTCCGGCAGGGAAAAAAGCAAAGGCAACATGAAAACACAAGTCAATGGAGAGTGACAGGCAGAGGAGCTCGACTGCGTGACACCCGAGGCTCGACGCAGGAGTCTGTAGGTGCTCAGCTGATCTCCGCGGAACTAACAGGCTACCTCTTCGGCCAGGTGAATCTCCGAGGTTCAACGCTGGACGGCAAGGGTGAAAAACAAGGGGTTATCACAGGATCACAAGGGCTGCAGAAAAACTCACGGCGCCGAGGTACCGGGGTGGCTTGACAGACGGACTGACAGCTGGGGCGAGGAAAGCCGGAGTATTTATGTCAGCTGGTCTAATGGGAAGACGAGACACAGCTGTGTCAATGGAGGAAGGCGTGGCACTGGGCGGGGCTCTGAGGACACTACTGGGGACACAGAAACAAAAGCACAAGCACATGGCAAAACAATAACAAACAGGGGAATGACATCAACATGAGGAGAGAATATGGGGAAAACAGAGGGGAAAAACACCAGGGTTAGACAGGGATCCTTACACTACCAATATTCAACTGTGGGTTTATTTATACAAAATATTTTATTTTACAAAATGAGGTTATTTCAATGATCGAATGAAATTCCAACGAGATAAATAGCTTATCCTATGTGGGTTTTTTTTTCGTCAAGGGTTCTGTGGTAACGTACCATCACAGGCTGTGAATACTCACGTGCTGCCCTCTTTGTTTACCTTTTTCCTTTACCTCTAAATGCTGTTGTTACCCTGTGTGTACCTGCAATGCACTGTGGGTAAATCCTCTGGGCTCAAAATGGCTCAAAACGTCCGTGATTTGACAGCTGGACAGAACTAAACCCTGAAGGGACTTCGAAGAGAGCGCGCCTCAGTGTGCGTGGAAGTTGAGGACGGGCCGATGGAGCGCGCCTCACCGTGCCTCTCGAAAGATGGCGCTTAATTTTGCTTCCATTCGAGCATTTGCCCTGTGTTGCGCATGTTGTACAGAGAGCTATTGTAATGTCACTTCGGGAAGGTGGTTTTGATGGTCGGACATTTCAAACACAGTCCGGCCAACTCAGACGAGCTAAATGTCCAGCAAGCTTCCCTTGGACAAGTTCAGGAGCCACTCGTGCAAGATGTTCTAACACGGTGGAATTCCACCCTTGAGATGATCAGCCGCGTGAGGCGCAACAGAGACACAGAGGTGTTCCGTGTCCCTGAGCCGCCGCTGCCGACTGCGGAATGTGTTCCGTGTCCCCGAGCCGACGACTGCGGAGGTGTTCCGTGTCCCCGAGCCGACGACTGCGGAGGTGTTCAGTGTCCCCGAGCCGCCGACTGCGGAGGTGTTCAGTGTCCCCGAGCCGACGACTGCGGAGGTGTTCCGTGTCCCCAAGCCGCCGCCGCCGACTGCGGAGGTGTTCCGTGTCCCCGAGGCCACGACTGCGGAGGTGTTCCGTGTGCCCGAGCCGCTGCCGACGACTCCGGAGGTGTTCCGTGTCCCTGAGCCGCCGACGACCCCGGAGGTTTCCCGTGTCCCCGAGCCAGCCATTCCAGAGACGTTCCGTGCCCTGCAGTCGGCGCTCCGGAGCCGGCCAAATGACCGTCCGCCGGGCCAACCCCTGAAGCCTCCCCTGCCGTTTGCCTGTCCACCGGTGCCGACCCCCAGAGGCTCCCCGGTTGACTGGTTGTCTTTTGCTTTGTTGCCTTTTCGACTATTAAAGTCTTTTTGCGTTAAACTCTGCATTTGAGCCCTGCCTTCCCCACGCATCCCTGACAGTGTGGGCAAAGCTAAGTGAGTTGGTGAAGGAAGAAGAACCTGCTCTGCAGCCAGTCAGGGAGGAGAACCCTGAGCCACCCAAGAAGAAAACAGCCCTGCTACTGATGGGATTAGATACAGAATCAGATGGGGAGACACCAGAAGACAATACTGTGGAGAGATACAAGGTAGAGCCCAGTTCCAGTCTTGATCAGTGTCCACTGAAGTGGTGGTCGGAGCACACTGCTGTCTATGGTAAGATGGCCCACATTGCCCATAAATACTTGGGGACTCCTGGCACAACGGTCCCATGCGAGAGACTTTTTTTTCTTTAGCAGGCCATATTGTGCAGAAGAGAAGATCTAGTTTGTCACCAGAAAATGTGAAGGACAAATAGAGCTTGGACTGATTGACACAAAGGTACTGACTGTAAACAGTTCATCACGACTTCTTATGTACGACCGTTACAGTTCAAAATTCATGTTTAACTGAATAAACAGTTAGTAAACACAAGTACAGCGAGACTTAGTCCAGGTAAAAAAGAAGTAGTCTTTATTTGCAAAAAAAAAGTTTCCTTATTTAAACAGATAAACAACCAAACCAAACATAATTCATTAACTGAATAAACTTAACATAACTTTTTCTAACACGTGCCCTCAGCTACACAGATGTTCCACCATTTTCCCCCAACAGTCCATGTCCTCCATCTTTTATAGCGCCGTCAATCAACCCGCCACAGGTTACATTATTACATTACATTATATGTAATTTAGCTGACGCTTTTATCCAAAGCGACTTACATTACATTTTTTAACCCATGGCTCTTACCTTTTTGCCTGGGGAGCATGCACCATGTGCACAGGTGACACCCATTATGACACTCTCCCCCCTCTATACCTGGTCCAACCCGATGATGTCACCGCTGACATCATCCCCTGCACAAACACTAGGCCTCACTGCCTGCCCTCCCCTCTAGCCTCCAGCACACCTGCAGAGCATGGCAAGCATTCAACCCACATACCAACATGGGGACAAAGGTGAGTTGTCACCCACTTTGTCACACATATTTTATTCATACTAGTATCTTGCAGAGCTGAGATGCAATTGGCACTGCATCTCAGCTAACTATCTAGCCCTCTGAAAAGGCGTATATATTGTCTAAAAATGAATTTGACTAACACCTGCATCTTGCTCATAATATAGTTTTTATTTAAAGGTTTTATGAAACGAAATCAGGTAAAGTGAGACAATAACTTCCTTTTGAACTTTATTGTTTAAACATCACCTACAAAATAAGTGTGAAAAGGACATTGATGTTGCAACAATCAATATCAATCAAAAAAAATGTATCAATTTTCTTTGCATTGAACCACTGCAGCATTTGCAGCTTGATTCCTCCAAACCTGGAGATTTTCATTTCCCTTTCAGTCATGATGAATGTATTATTAACTCACTCAGGCTGATGGGAGGAGTCTTTCTGAAGAAACACAACTAGGTTTAGAGGCGACTGGTGGGTTGGACTATAAAGGGGGAGCTTTGGCAGAGTGGACATCTTTTCTCCAAGTGCGCAGTTGATTAAACATTGGTGGTTCTTGTCTGTTCAGGATGCATTTTTATGGAGCGCTGATCCTGTTTGTGACTGTGTCTGCGGGTAAGAAAAGTTTACAATCTACACACCTTAGCATGTAATTTGTTTTATTTTTTTGTTCTTGTGCATTTACTCCCAAATTCCTCTGCTCGTTCTCCTGTTGGAATCGTTTCTATCTATATTTCATGAAAAGAATGCACAGAACAACGAGCATTATATTTGGAGTATGTTTAAAACAGTTGTGTGTTTTTATTGTGTCTTTCCTGTACAGCATGCGGACTGACCTGCTACCAATGTCTAGGCAAAGGCTGCACTAACGAGGTCACTTGTTTCCCCGATGGGGATCGTTGTACCAGCATCGACGTGAACGGTGAGTGGTTCTTCCACAGCTGATGTTCAACATCTTAAACTCATTATCGATCCGACATGTTGCTGTGCTGAACGCCTTGTGGGTTTCATTATTGTTGAAACTGAGTTGCTTTCCATCAGGTCTTGTCACCAAGAGCTGCATGAACAGTGGAGCATGTGTTCCACCGATAACCTGCTGCTCCACTGACTTGTGCAACGGAGCCACACCCGCCGCCTCCAGCATCCTCCTCCTGATGGCATCATCGGCCATCGTCACGCTCTTTCTCTGAGCTACAGATATTAAAATATATAACAATATTTGTCTTTTATCACCAATTTGTACAATTGAAGAAGAATAAACAAAGCCTTGATGTGTAAAAGCTGACTGCTCGTCAATATTTGTTCAATAATCAATATGATTGACATTGAATTGCTTAATTTTTTTAATTTTGACATTAATGTGTACGGTTAAAAACTGCTTTTCTATTAATCATATTATGAATGATTCGAAAGCTAAGTGAGATTGGGAGTTAAATGCTTAACCAGTATCAGCACATCCTTGTGTTTTTCACTTCCTCCTTGAGCCCAGTGGTTAATCAGTGACAGCAGACCTTTTCAAAAGTCAACAAACTGCCTCAATTAAAGCAAATCTAGAGTTCATGTTTGCTGAGCGCTGTCAGATATCAAGATGCATCAATATGTCCAATTGTTTTTTTATGCATTTAAATCTGCCTACGTATTCTTTTGTCCTTTGTTAAAGAATATTGAGGTAATATATTAATGAGTAAAAATGGTTCATCAAGAAATGTGTCTTGTATGAGTCACACTGATAAAAGAATGCATATTTACAGATGTTGTAAAAGTCAAAGGTCAAGGATTTTACTTTAGTTTGTGGTTCACACTTTCCATGCAGGAATTCCATTTTCAAAATACCTAAAAAAGCTCCTCTCGCTGGCTCATCTGTGCAGATAACAAAACTTAGGCCCGCCCCAGTGCATGCTGGTCCTGTACCGCCCACTCATATACATCCACCAGGTGATCACCGTGTTCCCCAAATCATCAGCCATCGAACTAACGCAAAACAAATTATACTTAAATAACACAAATAACTAGACGATCGACTATGAAATAGAAAAGGGCATCTTAACACATCGAACAATCTAACCTAAATAATTAAATACTTATTTATCTTTTGTTTAACGGTCATTTCCTGTAACCTGTATGTGTTCATGGCCAGAAGCCACTCTGATCAGAGAGAGTTCTACAGCCTCATTGTGACCTTCAGTCTCCACTGTGCAGTGAATAAAACTCACCTGAACCGGAATTGGACCAGATAGAAACTTTCCCCCGACACATAATTCCACGTGGATAAGAAAAGAAAAAAAAAGAGAATCTAAATATAAAATAGTGGCGATTGAAAGACGAGTTGATCTTTTGAAGTTTTAGCTGAACTTTTTGCAACTCTGAAACTGCAGAGCATAAACATGCAGAGAAGAACCAACCAAAATACAATCAAGCTGCCAAATATGACTTAAATCTATAACAAACTACTACTAAACCAGCCACTTGTTAGCAAGCGCTGACTGACAGCTCTGACTGCTCTGGTATCAAGGTCTTGCTCATGCTTGTTGGAAGGCCTCATGCAGTGAATCTGGCCTCACCAAGGAGCTCAGCTACACATGTTTCACGAGCTCCTTCTCAAACTGAACAAAGGTGGACAGCCTCACTAATGAGCCTCTGTGGTCTAAGAAAATGAACGCTCATCAAATAGACCAGTAAACCATTACTCAATAAACTATCACCATTGTACACAAATTGTTTCTGTCTTTTATACTTTTTGTTGTATTTTAGCATTTTGCACTTCAAACATGTAGAATGAACATGTGTTGACCAAGGAACTATATATATATATCTATAGGTTTCTTCCTGTTTTATGCATTTGGATCATTTTAAGTAATGAACTGTGGTACTCCAAAGCTATGATATTGGGTTGATTAGAAAAATTGCAGCAACAAAGTGACAACTAATATTATTGAATACAATTTGAGTCCTACTATTCAAAATGAAAACTTTCACTTAGTTTTTTCTGATTGCTTAAGCACATTTTTTGTAACTATTGGCTATTTTTGCAAAACTCTACACACAAATAAGAACCTTTCACCCAATTATCAAAACATTGTAGTTCTCTTGCAAAAGCGAACACAGCTAGATTAACCCTTCACACCTTCGTAAAAATTGTGTTTTTTGTATCAAGCAGTAAACACAAGCCATCATCTACTAAGCACACAATGTGCTAACTACACACTGGTGGTATGAATACAAAACACTTTTTGTATTCATTTTGCTTTCTCTGTGTACAGATGTCAATTTGAGGTCATTTTGTCGTAGTGTCATGTAAACATACAAGGATCCAAACTTCAAGTATTGGTGTTTATTCACACTCATCAAAACCAAGACAAAGTCAGAACACAAAATAGTCATTTCACAAAAAAAAAAAAAAAAGACAATCAGCCTACATCATGTCGTCTTTCTGGGTCCGGCCACAAAATTTCGTTCACATCGCATGCGATATCCTCCAGTCCAAGGCACCGGGGAAAATATCTCCTTAAATGCCGTATCCAGGCCTGACATGATGCCTGGTCAATTTCTCCACATGCCTCCTCCATTGCCTGTAAAAGGGCTACCTGTTGATGAGGATGACGGTCGTACACCTTCCAGCGCCAGGCAGAGAAGAACTCCTCGATGGGATTTAAGAATGGAGAGTATGGAGGGAGGTTGAGTGCCATGAAGAATGGGTGGTCTGTAAACCAGTTGCGGACCAAAGCAGCCCTATGGAAACAAACATTGTCCCATATGATGACATATCGGGTATGCTCTGGTCTCTTATTACGTCCGGTAGCTAGGGGTTGACGGACATGAACATAAAACCAGATGGAATTGGTATTTAAAAGGATATTTATTGTTAATTGGGCAATGAACAGAGGTTACAAAAAAGAGAATGGGGCCAACAGGTGCTGTGAAACTCAAAAATAGAATACAACCAAAAAAGATCCTCAAAAGGAAGATTATCTTTTTCTATCTGTTGAGTTGCGTTACTCGCATTCTTGCAGCTAACGTTGCATTCGGAGGAAAAGAGCGGACGATTCAGATGAGCCATCTTTAGCCGTCTGCGGCACATTTATTTCACGAGCTGCCGCTGAAACATCAGTCTCACGGTCAGACAGCCTTCATCACTTCTTCACATAAAACGGCAAAACATTTTGGGACAAACAAAACAGCAATGCAAACGAGTGCCCCCTTGTGGGTCATGCACAACACAGATCAGCACTGTACTACACCGTCACCACAACTGAGGACATATTGAACATATCCCAACACTATCTAAGAAAACAAAAGAAGCCTGCTTTGCATATCATTAACTTGCACACATGAGGTTGCCTACGGCAGCCATAACACCCCCCCCCCATAAACACAACCTCTTACGTGCACACAACAACACACACTACCTCTCTACTGTAACCTCGACAACGCGTCAGCCACTATGTTCTCTGAACCTCTTTTGGGGCGGACGTCCAAATTGTTGTCCTGCACAATCAGTGCAAAACGCATTAAGCGCTGATTGTGGTTGTACATACGGGAGAGAAAAACCAGGGGGTTATGATCAGTGTAAACAACGATCGGCAACATCCACCTCTGTAAGTGCTGTAAGGCCAACAACAAAGCAAGCTCTCCTTTTCAATGGTAGAATAGTTAAGTTGATGTTTGTTAAACTTTCTGGAAAAATAGCACACTGGGTGGTCTATTCCCTCCGCATATTCCTGTAGGAGAACAGCGCCGGCCGGCCCCGACCGCGCTTGCATCCACCTCAAGCTTGAACGGCTTGGCAAAATCTGGAGCCGCCAGCACGGGGGCGTGGCAAAGGAGCGCCTTGAGCCTGCCAAACGCAATCTGGCAGTCTGAGGACCACACGAACTCCATCTTGGGGCTCAATAATCGAGTTAATGGCTGAGCAATCGTTGAAAAATTACGGCAAAAAGCTCTGTAGTATCCTGCCATTCCAAGGAACGAACACAGCGCTGTACGCGTAGCGGGAACTGGACAAAGAGAAATGGCACTTACTTTAGCTTCTACAGGGCGCACTTGTCCCTGCCCCACCTGTTTTCCCAAATAGGTGATGGTTGCTTTACCTAACCCACATTTAGCCAAATTCAATGTGAGGGTGGCTTGTGCGAGTCTGCTGAAGACTTGCTCCAAGATGCGCAGGTGATCCTCCCACGTATCTGTGTACACAATCACATCATCTAAATATGCGTTACAAATACTTACCCCACATAATACCGTGTTAATATAAACGCTGGAAGGTGGCAGGGGCATTGCACATGGCAAACGCCATCACCTTACATACTGTGCAAAATGATCGGGAGTAACAAACGCCGAAATAACAGCTGCTGCACAATCAGTCAAAGGTACTTGTCAGTAACCTTTTAACAGGTCAAGTTTGCTTCCAAACTTGGCGTTCCCCAAATTGTCAATGCAATCTTCCATTCTCGGTAATGAATATGAGTCGCGCAGTGTAACAGAGTTCACTTTACGGAAATCAGTAATGAAACGAGGCGAGCCATCGGGCTTAGCCTCGACAATACATGGTGAACTCCACGAACTAGAACTGGGTTCAGCAAGCCCATGTTTAAGAAGATATTTCACTTCCCCTTTCATCAGTTCTCGTTTCGTTTGGTTGGCCCGGCACGGATGCTGTTTTATTGGACGCGGGTCGGTCAGCTCAATATCATGTTCAACTGTAGTTGAACATGATATTGAGCTGACCGGCACATCATTAAACACACCGGTCGGTTTGAATTGTTCGACCAGGTCAATTACGTCCTGTTTATGTTCATCGGGTAAATGTAGTAGCCGGGAAGGTAACTGTGCTATGGTTTCGGAGTTAGGGAGTCGAGAGCCCAACTGGACTGGATGATACGGCCGCAAATCATCACAGTCGTGCGCAAACGCAGGATCAGTGACGATCACAGCGGCGCTCCGAGTAGGCAACACAGTGAGTGGCAGCTTTGGTTTGTCCAACAGACTGTTTTCATCACTTTCTCTACGTTGGTACAACTTTAGCATGTTGATGTGGCGGACGCGCGTTTTTCTCCTTCGCTCTGGAGTATTAAGAATGTAGTCGGTGTCACTGAGGCGTTCACGGACCTCATATGGACCGGTAAATTTTGCTGAGAGCACCGAAACAGCTGTAGGCAGTAACGCCAACACTAAATCACCCGGTTGAAAACAGCGAGTTACTGCAGAACGGTCATAGTGACGTTTCGTCACTTCTTGCGAACCCGAAAGTGACATTTTTGGCAGGAGACGATTTAAGCGATGTAGGGTTTTTAGCGGGCCACAGGGTGTGTGCCCAAACACGAGCTGAGCAGGGCTGAAGCCCAAGGACTCCTGAATGGCTTCACGCGCTGAAAACAATACAAACAGAACCCCGTCATCCCAATCAGTTCCGTTTTCCAAGCAGTACTTACGGAGCAAAGACTTGAGAGTCTGATGCCATCGTTCCAAAGCCCTCAGGATGATAGGCAGAAGAAACTGCCTGCTTAACATTTAGTGTGCTAAGAACCTGTTTAAATAGTTTGGACTGAAAGTTGGTACCTT